TCTGGAGTAACTCCACATCTATATAGCATAACATGCTACAACCCCACCCTAGATTTCTGCTGTCAGGTGATACAAGAAGGCTCATCATGTCTTACACTAGCTTCCCCCAATTCATGCCCCTTGCTGCATTGGAACCTCCATGGTTGCTAAAGGAGCCAGAATGAAAGCACTCTATCAACAGCATGGTAATAGATCTAATGGAGCCCCAAAGCTAGGGATGTCAACATGAGTCAACTATACGATTAACCGATAAGCCTGGGTTACATACATTCCCTCCCCTTGCTGCCTCTGTATCAAAGTGGTGGCAGCCCCTGTTCGCAGGTCCAGGCTCACCACAGCAGCAGCCCCTGTCTGTAGGGGGTCCAAGTTCCCTGTGGACAGGGGAGGTGGAGCAGCTTCTGTCTGTGCGTCCCCCCTGCGCTGCTGCCTCTGTATTAGAGGCAGCAGCACGAGCAGCAGGCAGCTGGTCTGCACAGGGAACTATTTTTTAAACTGGCTCCCCTCGCAGACCAGCTCCTGCCTGGCACCCCACGCTGCTGCCTCTGATAGCGAGGCAGCAGCTTGGGCAGCAGCTTGGGGTGGAACGAGGCTCCCTGGGAGTGGGGTGAGTGTGCGTTGGCTGCTGGCCCTGCCAGTGGGGACTATTAGTCAAATAACTGATAAGAGTTCATGTGGTAACTCGACTATTCAGTTACCCAATAGCTAACTCCCCTAATCAAAGTGGACAATTAAAAACTGATACCAGTGTCCATAGCATAAGGCTAACTCCACCTGCACTGTATGTCTAATTGTTTAATTCTTTGCATTAGTAATATTTTAAGCAGTGTGGAGAATATATAATTATTCAGAGGTGGTTTTATTTTGCTAACAGGATAGTGCTCTTCCATCAGTACAGCGTGTCTTCACCAGCTACACTACAGCAGTGCAAATGCACTGGCACAGCTGCACTGCTGTAATGCATCTAGTGGAGACTAGCCTTAAAATCCATATAGAACGCAGTTGTCTTTGTAGTTTGTTTCCTTCATTCATATGCAAAAAATCACCACAAACAGCATGATAATGGAGTCTGCTGGCATTTACCAACAAGAATCCTATCAGCATACAACTATATGGGAATGCACCATCAGAATTTGACCTCAGCTATGCTGGATCCCATTTACCAACAGCCTTCCTTAGATACTAGGTTAAACAACTGTTTCCACAGAGACAAGCAACAGCCAACAAACCACAGGAATGTACAAGTGATAACTCTGCATGTAGGAAACACTGCGCGTACCTTTGCTGGTGCGAAATGTAAGCATGGCAGGCTGGCCTTCCCCAGCAGCACTCCTTGCTACCATCAGAACTTCATACAGGCTGGAGGGTTCCAGTTCTGTGAGATGAAGCTCATTTTCACTTCCAGGGACACGGACTGTATGCCAGCTACCCATGACATTGATGCCATCATCCAGCTGCACAAGAGGCAATCACAAGATACTAAGAACAAGACTTCAACTTTAGATAGGGAAAAATCAATACTTCTCCAGCTGAGCTTGTCTTCTGGACATTTTATTGTACAAAAATGTTAAAAGATGTGGATTGCCAGGGCTTTTATCTGTACAGCAGGTAAAGCACAAGCAGCGGCTCTGAACTTCTATACAATGTCCTGCAAGAGACCTGAAGCCTGGCCTACAGGATCCAACATATTAGGGTTTGAGAAAATTCAGTCTCCAAATTTTTATTTGGCCCCTGATCACTTAGCTGTGCCAGCTAAGAACAATGCTAATTAGCAGGGCTCGACAATCTGCAGCGAGAGCTACTCGCCAGCACCGCACTGCGCATAGCGCCGGTGAATGGGGCGCACGGAGCGACTGGCTGAAATCTACTCACCACGGGCGAGCAGAAACAGCGGTTTGTCAAGCCCTGCTAATTAGTGCATATTACAGTGGGTATTTACTCTGAGCGCTTGTGCTTGAGGGAACTGGAGTGAGGACAAATTATTTTAAGCAGAATACCAAATGTAGCCATTCGATCAGGGGTGGACAAATACCGGCCCATGGGCCAGATCTGGTCTGCAAGTATTTACCTGCACCTCCACAGGTATAGCGGATCACAGACTGTCATTCTCGGCCAATGGGAGCTGTGTTTACATGTACCTGAGGACGGGCAGATAAATATAGTGGCAGTGGCCCACCAGGGGCTAATCCTGGTGAACCACCAGTTTTATTGCCTACCCCTGCATTAGATGGTAGCATTGGATTAAAACAGGATCCAAGATGAGAAAGTGATAGAGTTTCTCTAACCTATCCCAGCCTTCCATGATGTAAGCATCTTTAAAATGTTTATAGGTTATAATGAGTAACAGAGAGAACTATATTAGCTGCTTAGTTATTTCCAGAGGCTGGGAAAAGTCAGGAGGGAGAGGGGAGATTTGTTTTTATTAGTTTACATACTTCTCTTTTTACAATTTTTTCCTTTGTGTTTTTTTTTCCTGTTTTACAGTGAATTTATCTGTTCCATTAGGCAAAGGAAAGAGATTTCTCTTAATACTTGACCGTCTGAGAAAAGTATCACCCCAAATCCCAAAGGGAAAGGCATGATTCTACCAAAAATAAACTATTAAACACTGTAAGACTGTAATAAAAACACGGAAGGCAGTTCTAAATACTATGCATTACTGAAGTTTATACTGATGGCCTTGATTCAAATTCTTTCTTCAAGAGACATTTCTTTCTAATGTTTTATTAAAAAATCCTGGAAGAAGAGGAAATCAATTAAATAATGTTTATAATACAAGAGATAGATGCATTTAAAATGACAAAAAATTGTCTACTAAAATATGTAAATAAATAGGCATTTAATAGAAAATAGATAATTGCTAGTGATGGGCAAATCTGAAACAGTCAGATAAGTGTTCAAAACTTTTGATGCTTATCGGAACGCACTATCTTTGGTTCAGATATTATGCTAATGGACTCTGTCATGAGATTTCTAGGATGTGGCTGGCCAAAAATACTTTGTGATATTTCCACTTCAGGTTGGGACACAACCAGGATGTACAAGGATTTAAACTTATAACGAACTCGTTAACTTAGAGATCTAGGCCTGCATTGCTTGGCTCCAATTCTAATTAAAGGAGTTTTATCTCTCCCTGCTATCTGAGCATTTGAGCTTCATTTGTGATATAGTGAATTCTTAGGCTTTGTCTACATTACAAAGTTTTGCTGTCAAAACTTGACTTTTGGTGACAAAACAATGAGAGCACACACACTGAAATGGGTCTTCTGTCAGGAAAAGAGTTTCAGCTAAGGATGTTAAGAGGTGGGCAACTCGCTAATTTTTATCAACTAATCGTGTAGTCGATAAGGAAGGAAGCACTCAGTGCCGGCTCATGGTGGGTCCAGGACCTACCCTCACTGTGGCTTTGCTGTTTAAATGTACTAAGAGCCAGGCTACCTGCCCGCCCAGCTCTTAGTACATTTAAACTGCAGAGTCGAAGCGGGGGTAGGTACTGGATCTGGCGCGAGCCAGGACAGAGCTGGGTTTCCTGCCTGGAGCAGCCTCTCCATGCTGCCCCCTCCTCCCTCTCACGGTGCTGCCTCAAATAGAGGTAGCAGCGGTGGGGGTGGCACCGCCAAGGCGGTGCTGGAGGGAACCGGCTTTTAAGTCAGCTCCCTCTAGCACTGGCTCCTGTTCCCCTACCCTGCCTCTGATACAGAGTGGGGGGAGGGATATAAGTAGCTGACTCGACTAACCGATAAGCCTACTTGCTTACATTCTTAGTTTCAGTGACAAAAAGCTTCCACCCCTACAAAATACTTTTTTCTTTTCCCCTCCCTTTATTGTCGACCAAGAGTCAGTGTAACCACTAGGCTATAAAATCCCATTGAATTAGTCGACCAGTTAAATGTTACGTTTAACCGCTTAATTGATTAAATGGGGGTGGGTAGAGCGCTCTCCCACCTTCCACAGCCAGGCAGGAGTGCTCCCCCCTCGCCGCTGCAGGCAGGGGCTGCTCTGATCGGGCTGACGTGCTCCTGCCTACAGCAGAGAGAGAGGCTGCTGCGCTGTTCTGACATTCCTCGGCACAGAGCTACCCACGATGCTGCTCCCGGAAACTCAAGAGGCTGTGGGGGACTGAGGGGGAATCCTAAGATGTGCAGGGATCAGCTCTGCCTTCCCATAAGATGGCAATGCGGGATACATACCCACAGTGCGTTGCTCACATGGTTGATGATGGTGCCCTCACTGGGTACAACATGATCTGTAGACCAAGAAGCAAGTGCGAACACCCTCTGGCGATCTTTGTTTTGTCGACTTTTGGGTGTCGACATACTTTTTTTGACAAAACTTGGTAGTGTGGACATACCCTTCAACATACTAGGTCAGAGGCAAAACTTGCATCTGACTTACACCAGTGTTAGTAAGTTGAGAGCCAAACCTACTGCCTTTAATACATTTTTTCCATTACTGATCTTGTATGAATAATGCTCACCAGAGTTTCATTGCACATCTACACTAAGGGTACTATAATGAAAATAACTTGAGCTCTATTGAGCCTGGTTAAACACAGAAAAAGCAGCAACTAATTTCTATCATCCCTAAGCAGGCTGCCTGTGTCTACAGCAACATTGTGGTTCAAGTGTATCTTGTTTTCTCTCAAGCATCAGAGGGGTAGCAGTGTTAGTCTGAATCTGCAAAAGCGGCGAGGAGTCCTGTGGCACCTTACAGAGTAACTGAAGTGTTGGAGCATAAGCTTTCATGGGCAAAGACCCACTTCGTCAGATGCGTCTGACAAAGTGGGTGTTTATCCACTAAAGCTTATACTCCAACACTTCAGTCAGTCTATAATGGGCCACAGGACTCCTCGCCGCTTTTGTTTTCTCTCTGGGCTGATCCCAGAGCTCATGTTAAATCCCACGCTGCCATAACAACGATAGGCTCCCTGAGAAGCCACATCTACTAAGGAGTTATCCCTCTCTTCCAAAAAGCAGCAGTACCTTGCGATATTTCACGAAGTAAGCATTGATGGGCAAGCCGCCATCCTTTCCAGAGCGCCACACCAGGTTGTACATGTCTGGCTTGAGTGTTTGTGGAGGGCTGAGGATGATTGGGGCTTCAGGAGGCAAAGCCCCATTGGGTGTCTTTTCGGTAGCAACTGCATCAAGATGCAACTTTGTCGGAGACAAATTGGAGAATCCTTCTTCTGTATCATAATCTCCATCACTTTGGGCAACCTCTATGGGAGTGACTTCTTCAGCTTTTGTACTAGATTCAAAAGGAACTGCAAAAGAAAAACTCTGGTTACATCTACAAGACAAACTATTTGGTTTCATGTGCTGGAAATGAACTCTTGTCCTTCACACCTACATTCTTCTACTGCATAGAAGAGGAAACACTTCACTGGGAACATAAGCATTCTAAAGGTGTAGGACCAGGCAGACCAGCAGCAGTGGATGTGTTATAATTGCTACACCAGGTACATTAGGTAGCAGTAATGTACTTATGTGGAAAAAGTAAGTAACTCTCTTTCTACAGACAGAGAAATCTGAAGTGACTCAGTCATTAAATTATATCTGTACAGTCACAATCTGCTGTATGTACAAGTTTATATTAAGGGCATTTTCTTAGCTCACTTTGTGAAGTTATAGTTTTGAGTAATTTCCACTAACACTGAACGTTACATAGCTGAAATCCAGCCAACTCATTTGAAAACATACTGCTAAGAATGAGGTAAGCAAGACTCAGTGCTACTAGTGATATTAACATATAGTTTTGAAAGCCCTCTATGTGCTTTCTGCGGCCATCCTGTAGCTTTAACTGCAATGAGGTCAGTAGTACTGGATAGCATAACTGACAAATACTCTCAGGGAATCCTGGAACAGCTTGTCAACATTCCAGGCAGCAACAGTCTGGCAACTTGGACCACTGAGGTTAGCATCAAGACAAGCATCAAACTTCAATATTTGAAGTGAGAAGACAGGGAAATGACGTGGCTCCTGAAGTTGTACACTGAAATGTTAAGACTGCCAGATGTTCTTAGTCCTGCCCTTTCTTTCATAGAACTGTGGATGCTTTGGTTATGTGTTGGGGGTCCAGAAAGTAGAATAAGGGAAACTTAGTTTACAAAACAAACAGAAATGCCATGGTTACATAAAGCATAGGTTGTGTTGCCTTGGCCACCTCAGATTCTTTCAACCTCCATTAAAATACCAACAACACTTCAAGGAAGCTGGAGAAAGGAAAGAGTTCTTTTTAAAATCCAAAGCCCATGTTTTTAGTAAGCATTGGTTTATTTAGGAATTCTGCAGAGTTTTGGTATGGGAGTCGTAAGCAACACAAAGAGCAAATCTCCAAGGTCAAACATCCGCTTATTCAAGACAAGAGAGGAAATGCTATACATTAAATCAACCAGTGAGAAAGTGATGCATGCTGCATATTAGTATCAAAAGCCAACGTTCTGTTCATCTGACAAGTTGGAAAGCGTACTTTACTGTGATAGGCAAGCAAGGATTTCTGGATGTACACAATGCGACTTGGTAACTGCTTGGGCAGGGACTTGGATTGCAATGTGTGGAGAATTCACTGTGGTTTAGGCTGATGAGGATCGACCTCCTGACATTATTGCTTTCACTAGTCCTGAAGGCTAGCACTTAACTACTGGTGAACAAATGTCAATTTAACTTATGGACAAACACTACAGAACAGTAATTTGTATTAAAACCATTCAGATTTATGTGCCTTCACCACAGGATGTCAAGGTTTTGGTATCGTCTATTTCAGTATGTAATGGGCAGGGCTCGACAAATAATGCAATCTACTCGCCCAGGGTGAGTAGATTGCAACCTGGAAGAGCCGGGTTCGGGTGATCTGCGCATGCGCAGATCGCTGGACAGCACGGCTGGCGAGCGAGGCTCGCTGCAGTTCGGCGAGCCCTGGTAATGGGGGTACTTCCACTAGCGTTTACTCCCTCCTGGTCAGATTCACTATTCCCCCTCAGCTTCATAGTCACGGAATTCTTTGAAAAAAATACAGTAGCAATTTCACAAAATAAGTTAGTGTTTAATGGAAATTAACCGGGGATTTGTAATCGGAGTTCTATAACATACCTCATGACAGCCTATTACAATCAACCCTACAAGATAGGAGCTACTACTAGTCAAGATGGGTGACATTTTCCAAAGCATCTAAAAGACTTACGACACTAAGTGCAAAGGAGTTAGGTTTCTAAGTCACTCAGGTGCTTCTGAAAACTTTACCTGATATGTTCATTTGAACCTGTTGTAGATTCAATTGACTAAAGAACTACATCTATTTGAAACTTATTAGAAATGCTTTATTAGACATTTCTATTGGCATTTAAGTTACCAGCCCTTTGACTCCTGGTGGCTCTCAGCTAGCCAGCTTCCAAACTCATTTTAAGGGTTCAAACCCACAGATCAAAACCAGTGCCTTCACTACCACCTGAATGCCAAAATAACAAATCTGAAATTGATAAAAGCAAATATAACATTTAACTTGTAGAACTCACTGACAGACGGTTGAGACAAGGCACCAGAATGTGTATTGCAGTTCAGGATGAGTTCCGGGAATTCCATTTTATTTGGGTTTTACAAAGTCCATTACTGAACTTAATGTGAGGGTTTTTTATATTAAAATGACAGATTTTTCTCTACAATTTTTTTTTAAAAGAAAACATTTGTGCCTAATGTCAAATATGTACATTTCAATTAAAGAAAAAAATCTACTAAAGTCTAAGTGTAAAAATTTAGAAAAAGTCTGCTATATATTTGATAGCATCTTGAGTGTAGTCAATTTTTACATAGTCCCCTATATAGTAAGTTTATCTCTTGCTAATAAAGAACCTTCTAAACATCAAGATGGAAGTAGAAAAATCTCTTTTAAAACAGGATTTCAATATATTTCAGGACATATTTACCAGTATTGTATCAAAAGCCAGAATACAGTAAACCTGTGTTATCACGCTCGGGGATTAGGGCGTTCCGGTTATCTAAAAAGGAGGGTTACTTCGAGATATGTTGCTCATGCCGCGTGCACAGTTCCCCAAGTGGTTTTTCCCCAGCAGTACCCGTCGGGCTGGCAGGTCGCCTGCTGGAGTGGCACCACGATAACATTGCATAAGTACCCCTGCCGGCCCTCCCCCACCTTAGTTCCTTCTTGCTGGAGACACCAACGAAGAAGAGGTTGGGGGGGGGGAGAAGAGGGGAATCAAATGGACATGAGCAACACATCTTGAAGAACAACAGTTAGAAGCAAGTAACCCTCTTTTCTTCTCCGAGTGGTTGCTCGTGTGCATTTGAATTAGGTGAACCCCTAGCCGAAACTTGTGGAGGTGGGGTCAGAGGCATGACCTAGAAATCAATTCAACTTCTTTCTAATATGCTTTTATTAGATGATGTTACAGAACTGAACTTAAAACTGCAGAACCCAGGGCTGCATAACTCCTTGTCTGCTGCATAATGGCATAATGCGCAGTGAACATATGGACCGAGGATCACGTGGCTGCCCTACAGATATCTACAATCAGGACCCGAGCCACGAACGCTGTAGAGAATGCATGCGCTCCCATGGAATGGGCCATCATGTGAGGCGTGTCTTTGCCAGCTTACACGTAACATTCCTTAATACAGGACAAGACCCAGGAAGAGCGCCTCTGGGCTGACACTGGCAACCCTCTCATCCTTTCCACAAATGAAATAAGAAGTTGGGACGACTTGCGGAAGTGTCTAGTTCTGTCTATACAGAAGGCTAACGCTTTCTTGGCATCAAGAGAGTGGAGGGCTTGTTCCCTAGAGGACTTATGGGGCTTTTGGTAAAACGCAGGCAGGTATGTGTCTTGGGACATATGGAAGACAGACAGTACCTTTGGTAGGAAGGCTGGGTGGGGACACCTTCCCCTATTACGAATGTTATTCGGTCCAGAGGAGTTGCTATTACCCGTGCCCGCATTACGATATCTGAGCCTCCATGGGTCTTGCTATAGGGAGGGTACTGTGATCTAGCGGGTGCCCTGGAATTAAGTGACCGTCTCTGCGGGGCTGGTGTATGTATGCCTAGAGTCCTAAGGGTGGCCCTCGTGTCCTTAAGGGTGTGGTGTCTTGAGTCCGTGCTTTGAGAGAAGAGATCCTTGCCCTCGAAGGGTAGGTCTTCAATGGTGTTTTGGACATCCTGGCGTTTGCCTGACACCTGTAGCGACACACTTCTGTGCATGACTACCCTCCCCACCCCAATGCCATGGTTCGGGCTGTCGAGTCCCCGTATGCATTTGTCTAGGTGGGGGCATAGTGCGCCCTTTGTAGCACAGCAGGTGGAGCCTCCTCCGGTACCGAAGGTGGTACCAACGTAGCTGGCGGCACCAATCCCATCTGCGGTGCCATAAGACATAGCATCGTAGCGGGTGGGACCACCGTTGGTGGTGCCGACCAGGATCCGTGCCCTGCCGCTGTTACCGGTGCCGCTGAGGCCCCTGGTGCTGCAGGCGAACACTCCCGGTACAGAGGGATCGCGGGCTGTGGAGGAGATGCGATTAGGGCGTTCCGGTTATCTAAAAAGGAGGGTTACTTCGAGATATGTTGCTCATGCCGCGTGCACAGTTCCCCAAGTGGTTTTTCCCCAGCAGTACCCGTCGGGCTGGCAGGTCGCCTGCTGGAGTGGCACCACGATAACATTGCATAAGTACCCCTGCCGGCCCTCCCCCACCTTAGTTCCTTCTTGCTGGAGACACCAACGAAGAAGAGGTTGGGGGGGGGGAGAAGAGATGGCCTTTGCAGCTGTATCTGCTCCAGACTATGTTCCCACACCGCGTCATCGTGACGCCTCTGGGTCCGCAACACATCTTGAAGAACAACAGTTAGAAGCAAGTAACCCTCTTTTCTTCTCCGAGTGGTTGCTCGTGTGCATTTGAATTAGGTGAACCCCTAGCCGAAACTTGTGGAGGTGGGGTCAGAGGCATGACCTAGAAATCAATTCAACTTCTTTCTAATATGCTTTTATATGCGTCTTCCCGTCGGCGCCGAAGGGACCAGGAGGGTGAGTGTAACTGGTGCCAGCTCTCATGCAGTCTCTTGGCTGGAGACCTCCCTCGATTGTCCCTCTTCTTCGGCACCAGAGACTGGGATCAGTGCCTTGGTCGGAAAGGTCCCGGTTGGGTTTCCTGCACTGATGCCAGTGCAGTGTGGACCGCACCTTCCTTCTCTGGTGCCGGCTGAAGCACCGACTCCATTCAAATGAGTTTTAAGCGGGAATCTCTCTCCCTTTTGGTTCTTGGCTTAAAGCTTCTGCAGATTTTACAGGAGTCTGTCAAGTGGGTGTCCCCCCTAGCACTTTAAGCAAGAGTCATGGGGGTCTCCACATGGCATCGGTTTAGCACAGGACGCACAGGGTTTGAAACCGTGCAGGCCTGGCATGCCCACCCACGAAGGGGAGAGAACACTCAAACTACCTAAGTGCTAACTATACTACTAAACGCAAACTAAGACTAAAGAACTATTCACACTTCAAAGAACTCTGATCGCTGGATTAACAAGTCAACAAGAGAAGCTCCAACAACCCTCATGGCCGGTAAGAAGGAACTGAGGAGGGGGAGGGCCGGAAGGGGAAACTTATTAAACGATATTAATGTGGCGCCACTCCAGGGGGTGACCTGCTGGCCTGACGGGTACTGCTGGGGAAAAACACTCTGGGAACCGTGCACACGGCGCACGCACACCTAATTCGAATGCACATGAGCAACCACTCAAAGAAGAAATTCTGGTTATCTGAGGGTCCCATCAATCTAGGAAAAACCAATGGACAATAATAGTAAAACTCAAGTTTTCAATATTGGTAGTTTTGTAGTGTGAGGCAGGTGGTCTCACATTTCTATTTTGAGTTAAAGATGATTAGTACTACTTAAATAAAAAATTGTTAAGCCAATCATGGTAAACCAAGCCAGGCCTGTGCACCTGAAGATGTGACAGTATTGTGGCTGGGGGCAATGCTGGTTAACAAAGTTTTCTGGTTAACAGTGCCAGATAAAGGTTTCACTGTATTTAAAAATTAGGCAATTAAAATAAGTTAATGTTGTTTTATGCTTTCAAGATCTTCTCTAGCTTTATTTTTGAAAAAATAGGTATAGAGTTTAACTTGCTTTCTGGCTCAGCAAATTTTAATTAGGTTTTCTATTTTCTCTAGGCTGTGTTTTGATGATTGAACACCAAGACCAAGGGTAAATATTTCAAAACTACCTACAGGACTTAGGCTCTTAAGTCCCATTTTAAAAAGCAATTAGAAGCCTAAATCCCACTGATTTTCAGTAAAACTTAGGCTTCTAAGTGCAAGTCTCTTTTGAAAATGAACAAAAGCCCAAATCATGTGGGTGCTTTTTAAAATTTTGACCTTGTTCTTGATAGAGTAATTAAAAAAAACACATTTTGATGTATGTGATCTTGAATACACCATGAAATAATACAAATAAATTTGTTTATATTGTGCCTTCAGTTTAAGAACAATTTGTGCTTTCAGTTTAAGAACAATCTCCCTCTAGCAGCAACTTCTGGAAGAGAGAACATTGAGTATTTTCTTTGAGAGATGGAGCCTTTTATATTGTCTATTTCTACATCTCTCCTCTCCCAACGTCATGGCGGTGTGGTGCATGCACTCACACTACCAAGAACTGCTGGGGATTCCCCTACTTGACCTCACACATTGACTTTGCTGGGTATCAATTCCATAGTGACTTGGGAAGCACTCCTGAACCATAGCACAGGTTGAATCTCTCTAGTCTGTAGCCTCAGGACCTGACCAGTGCCAAACCAAAGTATTTGTGGAACCACGAGAGGTTAATATTGTCTAGCAGCATTAACAACACTTCCACTGCTTACTGGGCTGTTAGAGGACATTTAAGGCAAAATTAGAGCTAAACAACAGCAGAGAACACCAAGAGCCAGGACTGGTGGCAGCAAACAAACTATGGGACTGCAGAAAACTTGGCCACACCTATGACAAGTGGACATCTGTATAACAAACATCATGCTGGACCATGGATGTTGCTGGACTAGAGGTTCAACCTGCATTTATAGCCGAAATCTGGAGCAACTACATATCACCTTAGCAGGGCATTGCAAACATACTTTTTTAAAGCTTGTAGAAGGAGAGATTTTAAAGTGACTTTAGTATTTGTGAAAAGTCCCTTATTGGGTCAGATTGGAGAAATAAATCCTCCGACTCCAGAATGGGGTTTCCCCACACACTGATGTGCCATGATACTGAGAAACACACAGAGGCGTTGAGATGCTAGTATACACTTTAGGCTCAGGTGAGATGGCCAAAAACAAGGTATCTGCTCACTAGAAACTTGGCCAACTCATTTCAATAAGCAATGAAACAGACCATGTCTAATTCAGATGTTGATAAACTGCCCCTCTTGATACTAAAGAGCTATTTCACCACATAAGGAACATGCCAGATTACTGGTAGCGCTCAACATAAAAAGGCTCATGGAAATGCTGGCGCTAGCTTACCAACGGTAAGAAATGCTTCTGACAGTGCTGAGCCGTGTTCATTTATTGCTTCACAAGAGTATTTCCCAGCATACTCTGGAGTAATTGCCTGAATGTACAGGGAGCTTGATCCAGCTCGAGACATGGTGAAGTAGATGGGTTCTAAAATGGTGCTGCCTCTTCTTGTTTCTGGAGATTTTCGCGGTTTTGAATGAAGGACCTGAGAAAGGTGGCTGGTAATAAGTCCCCGGCTGTTGTACCAACGGATGACAGGAACAGGTAATCCAGTGGCATTGCATGACAATGTAACATCACCACCATCGACCACATTGGCACTGGCTGGTGAAGAAACTATAACTGGCTTAGAGCCTTTGCCTGTTAAAAACAAATTAATACACAAAATTAATTCACTGTGCTGTGGAATCTGTTGTCTAATGCACAGATGAGCTGTTAACATGATTATAAAAATGAACACATTCAAATATTTGCCATTATAGAGTTCTTTAGTTTTCTGGTTGGAAATAATTCTCCAATCCATTGCTCTAAGGGAACAAGGGGCTGAAAGTCATTGCTATTATTGACACTTTTGTTCAGAGAAGGCAGATGCACTATTAACCTTCAATCTGCATGTGGAGTGTGCAAGAACAAAGATATCAAGCCTCGAGTCTGGAATTCCCCAGTTAGAAAGAAATTCCAATAGAACTCAGATAATTTAAGACAATGGAGTTAATTATAAGAGACTCAATATGTTTAGTTACTGTTGGATTTAACCTTTAGATTTAGGTTTAAAAATTCAACAATCAATATAAACTGATTCACCAAATACCTCCAGCTCTCCAAATAATCCTTCTATCAAACATAGCTAAAATTTTATAAAGGCAAACACAGCCTAGGAGACAAACAGGAATAAGTATATTTGAAGCAAGATTTTATTTGCCTTCTTTTAAATTCTGGAACCTTGAACTAAGGATCTTGGTTTACATCTCCCATTCCACCATGAAATACTTTAACAAGTGGTCAATAAATTGTACAATTTGCTGCTGACTGTGGTCAGAAATGGACTTAGTCTATACATAAACCAAACCTTTTGGCAAGAAAACTAAAACGTGTTAGAAAAACAAAGGTTTTAGTTTAAATTTTTGGACAGTTAAGTGTTCTATACCTGTCTGGACTCGAAGTCTCCCAATGGACTGTGTGAAACCAATTCCATTGTTTGCTACACACTGGTACAACCCAGAATCCTCCTTAGTAATGCCACTGATTCTCAGCCTGTTTCCTGTCACCAGATGTCGTGCAGAAAGGTGGACAGGAGTTGCATTATGGAACCAGGTAAGATTAGGAGCTGGGTTTCCATGTATGTCACATGAGAAATGTATAGTTGCACCCACAGCCACCGTTTGACTCTGCAGTCCTTTAGAAATTGAGGCAGATTCTACAAAACAAATGCAATGTGAAACTTTCAGGAATCATGCAGAAATGAGTTACTAGACCACATTTAACAACAGAAAATTTTACAAACTTATCACAAATACGGAAGCCAAGCTTAGACACCTCAAGCTCAGTGAAAGATGAACACTTGGTTCTAAGTCATTTTCAGATAAGTCATGCTTACACTATAAAAGTTAACAGTCTTTGACAAAACTACTTACTGTTTCAGCATCTCTACTTCATGAAAAACTTTTTCAAACCTTTCAGATTGTTTGGTCAGAATACACACACATCTAAGCCCTACCATATTCACCACGAACAGCAATAAGGCTCCCATTGACATCAAGGGAAGCAGACAAGCAATCACTGGACAGTTTTGAAAATCCCATACAGAATTCCAGGTAGCTTGAAGAAGCAAACACTGATTTTTTATTTACAAATTAATGTCTATGAAAAACAGAAAACTTGCAACAAGATGTACATTGTTCATTAACAAGCAAGTCCAGACTGTAGCCCTGTTAGAATTCTATTTCACTCTCAGAAAGTATAGAATAGTGTGTTATTCCTGAGGAGATGAGAATTAGGATAATCCTTAGCTACTTTCTGTTTTCAGCAATAGTAAGAATGTTCCAATATGATTTAAGGATGCGGCAAGACTGATTCTATCTTAAGCTAGGCAGTGCCTAGAAAGAATTGCTATAAAATAAAAATGGAAAAGCAGTGAATTACAGAAGCACAGCAGCAGCCTGATGGCCAGTGGTAGGGATGGGTTTTAGAATGCTCACTCCTCACAGATAATTTTTGTTTAATTACCATGAATGGGGAAAGGACAAGCATCCTACTTTGGTACAGGATTCATCAGGTACTAAAGGTGTGCACAGCATGTTTGCAGACAAACAGATTACTGGTTTTCTCCAGAGGAGTTTACAATTCAAAACAGATTAAACGATAATGAGGACAAAAGATTTGGGAAGAGGAAGACAAAAAGGAAGAGATCATAAGATATGCTTATGAAGTATGTATCTTAATTATTTAATGAAACATTTTAAAATGCATCAGCCCTTATGTAGTAGCTTTTTCAGCTAAGACAACAAAAACAGAAAGAGTCTTTCACATAAAATGTGCAAATAAAAAACAAATCAGTTCCTTACCGAGTACAGTTACTGTGTAATTTAGGTATCTCACTACCTCAGACTCATTTGCCACCACACAGGAATAGTTTCCAGCATCCAATGCATCAAGTCTATCTGTCACCAGATGGGAGTGCAGCAGCCTCCACTTGCTTCCAGTCAGTGCATCCTGGCCATCCTTAAACCAGTGGACATGAGATGCAGGCATTCCACTAACAACACATTCTAGAATGAGGGGGCTGTGCTTAGGCACTGCTAAAGCCAGAGACATGGTGGGATGAAGAACGTGGAAGCTTTCTACAGAAGTGCCTGGAAGTAGAGTAAAGAGACACACAAAAGATAAAACTCTTTGGTGATTCAATTTTAAAATTGAATAATTAAATACTTTTCCCGCTAGTGCAGGCATGTCAAACTGGCGTTTGGCAGGCTGCATGCGGCCTGATCGAAATTTAGTGTGTCCCGCCAGAACATTTTTATAAAAGAATGAAGTGCGATCCGCTGGTGCGGCTGCTCAGAACTCATAAGCGAGTGCCTGCTTACAGCCGGCTGGGCTGCTCTGCGCAACAGCATCTGCTCACGGCAGGTCGGGCCGCTCTGTGCACGTGCTCATGGCCGGCTGGGCACTCTGCGCTGGGCTCTCCAGCAGGCACTCACAGCTGGCCGCTGTGCTCACGCCACCCCAGTGCCTCAGGCGGCAACATCAACTCCAGGACCCAGGTATTAGGTTGGGGGGAAGGGACGGGGCTGAGTGTGCATGGCTCTGCAGGAGGGGGGAGGCTGGGAGTGCCTGGCTCTGGTGAAGGGAGGAGGTATTAGGTTGCGGGGGCCTGGCTCTGGGGGAGAGGAAGAGGATATTTTGTTAATATTTTGTTTATTTATTGATTCCCAAGTAAAAAATCACAAAATGTATATTAATTTTGTATCAATAAAATGTGGGCTTTTTTTTTTGCAATTGCATGAATAATTATATCTTTATGCAAAATCTCAAACTTACAAAGTATCTGAAATTTTCACAGAAGCCTGTTTTATTTGATTAACCATGGTCTATACTTGTTTTTATTTCAACAAAACAAGCTAGGTATCATATACAAAATTTAAGCACCGTACATTTATATTTAAATTAAAAATTATGTAAAATTAATTTTAAAATTAATATGAGCAAATAATTTTACACATCAAATTATTGTAATATTATAAAATACCCCTAAACCAATCTATAATAATAAATGACTACAACTTTCCGACAAAGTACATTTTCTTTGGTGGCCCTAGGGTTGCCAGGTGTCCGGTATTAGTGCCTTCTGCCTGGCACTTAACATGCTTTTTCTTTTTTCTTCTCAACAAACCATCTGGGAACTCTAGGTGGCCTTGTGGCCCTGAAAGCTATCAGTTTTTATCTGTGCGGTCCTCAGTAGGCTTTGAGTTTGTCATGCCTGCTCTGGTGGCTCCTTCACCGTTTTTTCAAAGCGCTGATGTCCGTTGTGTTACCAAATGTACTCACTCACTTTGCGGCCAATTTTCCTTACATCTGAGTACAGCATGATGAGGCTCACTTACATTAACCCAACCTCCTTCCCCCCTCCCCTCAAATCAGTTGGAAGTGGCGCTTATTGGACATTGGACACCCCCCTTCCAGGAGCGAAGAGCAGAAGTCTTTTGGCATCCGAGCCTACATTTCTCAGAAAGCAGTACACAGCCACCATGCCTCTACTCTAAACTCTGCTCTGCTCCTGCTCTCCATCACTGCTCTCATCTCTGCCATGTATGTTATGAGAACAAACCAGAAGCAACAACAAATTATTCCTTTTGCAATTAGACTAGATAAGTTTTCAAGGAAATACTCACTATTAGAAGAGGGCATGACATTGATAATGTGTAGATGATTATTTCTTTCAATATACCATACTGATGAAAAATGTATGCAAACAGGAAAAAAACCTTTATAGACACAGACATTTTTATATTACTAGATATTCATGGAAGTAATCTTTTTAGGTTGATTTTTTTCATAAAGCCACAAAATCAAAGGCAGTTACTGAAGATGAAAAGTATTCTGCAGACATTTGCTAGCTATATTCTATATATAGTAGAGGACCAGCTCTTGACCATCAGAATAGCGAGACATTACGATCTAGCAGAGTATATTAAAATACTAATTTAAGGTTGATCAATTTAGTTCAAAGCTTTTATCCTTTAAAGCCACCCTGGTAGGTATGTTAAATACTCACGGCTGACTATGAGCTTAAATACTCACGGCTGACTATGAGCTTATGTCCAGTGGGTTCTAATTTGAGATCACGAGTGACTGGGTTGTATGCTGCACATTTATAGGAGCCTTTATCCTCTAAAGAGACATTCAAAATCTGCAGATTTCCAGATGGAAGAATTAGGTAGTTATCTGAGGAAGGGAAAAAGAGGCTAATGTTTAAATTAGTTTCAAAGAAACAGTTTTTAAAATTTCTTTAGTAAATTCATATAGCACCCTATTCTATTAAGTGCACTACTGAGAACTAATAACTTTGCCAACAAAGAAATTCATTCTTACCTTGTATATCTTTACTAAGACAGATGTATCTAATGTGAATTTCATGAGGTTTTCAACTTTTAGGACATCACTCATATATATCAGCCAGTATTTTTGGGGTAGGTCATTTATACTAGTTACTAGCTTAATAAAATCTCTCACCTGTTGATTGTTCTAGCCATTTTCCCCGTACTCGAAATCGAACTTGTGCTTTAGGGTTACTTTTTGGCACCTTACAGCCAATGAAAACAGCACTTCCTTCTTCTGCTGTAACTATGTGTTTCACTGAAGTATCAAAATCATCAAGATCTGAAAGACAGGTTACAAAAGGTAAGTGGGACTGCAGATTTTGAAGGACGTAGGGCTAAACAGTATTCATTAATTGCAAATATGGCAGATTTTGATCCAACGGAATGATGTTTTGACAGCCTCTCTGAACTCCTCTGTAAATAAGTGTGACATTTCATGTAGTTCTCAATACCAGAGCTAAGATAGAGGAATGTGTGCTATAGGAAGAGCAAAGTTTTCACGTGAAGTATGAAAAAACTGAAAATGTAACTTTCCTGTAAGTTTCACAGAACTATTTCATGAAAAATAAGGAAACAGAGAGGCTCTCAACTTCTGTCAATTACCAGTAATTAATGCAGGAGGCAATTTATAGTACACTGATAACAGGAAACTTGTTAATTCTATTCACACACAAAGTAGTTAATTATAATGGAGAAATATAACTTGACAATGAATACATCAGTGTGGAATGAGACATCGGCTATTCACTGCCTGTACCATAGGAATTAAATATAAAACCTCAACCTACAAGTTATAGCACCTCCCAACATTGTTTTTAAACAACATTGTTGCTAAAAACCCCATAAACAGTTTGTGTTAGACCTACTCTACACCTAAAAAGGTAGTTCAAACTAGCTATTGCTCAGGGGGTGTGAAAAATTCACCCCCCTAAAGGATATCATTCAGACTATTTAAGTCCTTGTGTAGACAATGCTAGGTCAACAGAAGAATTCTTCTATTGTCCTGGCCAGCACCTCTCAAGAGTGTGGATTTACTACAGCAATGGGAAAATCCCTGTCACTGCTGTAGCAAGTATCTACACCACAGTTCCAGCTGTGGAGCTTGTACTAGAGCCATACCCTAAGACCCTCGTGTAGCGCAGTAAAGTATACAAGCTGCTCTTTTCCTGCTAGCTTCCACGTTCAAAGCTTACAGCGTGTAAAGTTTGTCTATGCTGATTGCCCTTGCAGGTCTCTGGAGGGGGTGTTGCTATGGGTCAGCACTTTGCCAAAACACTTAGTCTTCTCAACTGTGAGAAATGCTCCTCTCACAGGGATTCTGGACATGCTCCATGGACGGGGCATCCTTAAGACGAGGTTACTCAAATCCTGGCAGACAAAGGCCCAATTCAGACAGTTCTTAGAACAGCCAAATTGTACTCCAAGGAAACTGTTTTCAATGGTACATAATCTTTTTCTTATGAGTTCGGCCCATGACCTCTCTACTTCACATTTCTTTTAATTATCAAGCAATTTACAAATCAACAACCAAGGCAAAGATTATTGAGATGAGAGAATATACAAGAAAAGATAGAAAGACAACCAAGAAGAAAGGCATTTAAAACATTCTGGCTATCAATTAGGGATGTTAAAATGTGTTTATTTTTGTAACCATGTAACTGCTGAAATGTACAGAGGTTATGCATTTACATGCAGGGGGGCCAGGCAGGAGCCGGTGCTTGTGGGAAGTCGGTTTTTAAGCTGACTCCCCGTGAGCACTGACTCCCACCTCCTAACTGATCCTTTTGGCATCTCTGTCCTTTTCCTCTTCTCTGTTCAACAATACGTTGTCTGTGGGCACTAACTTGGGGTAGAGGGAGTTTGGTAGGGTTCCCTCTTTTGTGTGGTGTTTCCTACCTGGAAGCTTTGCTGGGAAAGGGGAGACAGAGAGAGCATGCTCTTCCTGGAAAGATGGTAACCTTTGCTGCTTCCCATGAGAAAAGCCTGCAAAGTAAGGTGTAAGCTCTTGTCCATAACATAAGGCCTTATATAATTCTATCCCTCTCTATCTGACCTACCCATTGCATTATCCCCAACACCCTCAGTGCTCTCCCAATGATGCCAGCTTTACATTTCAACCTCTTCAGAATACTGCCACTAAAGTGAGCTTCTTGGCTCATGGCTCTAACCATCAGTCCCACCTTAGAATCCCTCAGCTAATTCCACATTGTGTCTTTGCTTAGAAAGCCATCCACAGATTCACACTTGGCGGTGACTAGTAACACCATGCTGACCCCTACCATCCCCAACCTTTACCAGCCATGCCAGTAGTTTCTCTTTTACATGCTTCCTTCAACAATGTTCCTCAAACGTGGGAAAACCTCTTGGATGTAATCTGAACAGCCACTAACCTTACCTGCCTTCTCTTAAGATTCACCTCCGCCATGTCTATAGAACCCAGCCTTTTGATCATGGTTACTTGCAACTCTCCCCTTCTTGCCTCATCCCCTCCCAATAAAAGCTAACCCTAACCCTAACCCAAAATTCAAGGCTTCAGAGTGACAGTTCAAATTATTGTCTCTACTGAATGCGATGTTGTGTAGGTCATAGTTTTCACGTGTGTCTGGGTGGTCCAGGCAATTGCTGCAGGTAGCAACATTGAAGACTGGGCCCTCCCATGAGAGGCTCTGTGTGTTTGGGGTTATTGTGTATGCCAGTTGTGAGGCTGTGTGGGTGGTTGTGTGGATCTGAGTGGATGACAGTTGGATCAATTTATCCCCCATCTATGCAGCCTTCCACATACAATCACTGAAACTGCTGCATGCACATTAGCTGTAGAATAAGAGCAGTAATGAACTGAGTTGCTCCAAATATCACAATGGTCTAGGACTCTTTGCATGGCATAGATCAGGGTTGGGCAAGCCAGCCCAACACGCCGTCATATCCAGTCTGCGGGCTGCTCCGCCAGGACCCTCTGGCATAGAAGCCGCCCCACACCACTTTAAGCAGCTGGCTGTTCCCTGTGGCACTCTGCTTTAGGCACAGGGAGAGGGGAGGAGGCTTCATGCATTGCCCCTGCCCTCAGCACAATTTCTCCACTGTCTGGAAACCAGCCAAGAGCTAAGAAATTGTGCTGAGGACTCGGGCAGCTCACGAAGCCTCTCCCAGCGCTCAGAGCAGAGAGCCACAGGGAGCAGCCTGGGACTGCAGGGCTGCTTAGTGGGAGCCATCTAGGTAAGCACCTCTCAGCCAGAGCCTGCCTCTGGCCCCCACCTCCCTGACCCAGATCATCATCCAAACCTTCTGCACCTTCTCTCCCCAGGTCACAACTCCCTCCCAGACCCTGCACCCCCTCTTACACTCCTCCCCCAGGGCAAAATCCACACCTGCACCCATACCCCCCTCACCCCTGCCTCAGATCACAATCGCTTCTTCACTCAAACCCCACACCCTCTCTTGAGCCTCAGAGCTCCCTTCTGCACCCAGCCTCCATCCCAGACCCCACACCCTCTCCATAGCAAAGTGTGGCCCTTGATCACTTACAAAATCTCGGAGTGGCCCCCCATCAAAACTTACTGCCCACCCCGGCATAGATCTATGCCTTACTGTAAAAGGACACTGCACAGAGGTAATCTGTAAAGTCAAAGTGACTAAGAACGTAAATTGGATGACAAAAACCCACTAATTCAACATGGTGCTATTCTGATCACAAAGAACTCTTGGTCGTGCTTGTAGCTGCATTCATTGCTTCATACGGACTCCGACAAGTTAGGATTTACAGTGACACAGAGTGACATGCCTTTAGTCTTATTACATCAATTTTAAATTATACACAAATCTTTGGGGCAGAGCTTCTCTTTCTATATCATCTTTGAAGTGTTAATGGGTTCCCTATTAAATATATACTCAGTGATTTTTAAAAACACTGCTTTCCCAAGAAAGTTCGAGTGTTTTTCTTTGAAAACTCAAAATATTTCCCAAAAAGCTGCACTATAAATTTTCTGAAGATCAAAATATGTCAAGTGTCTTTCACTTCGAAGATGGAAGAAACAACAATTTCATACAACTAACTGATGGCAACTAATTTTTGTCATGGAGTTAGGAACAAAAGTAGAAAATAACTTACAGCCTATGGATATTGTGGCCGGCCTGCTCACAATGGCACCAGCACTGTAATTGGCGATGCACTGATAGTGACCAGAATTTGAGGAGCTGAGAGAGAAGATTGTCAAAGATCCTGGCTGCACCTCCACTTGCTCCACCCTGCTGTTCAACCTCTCTCCGTTAAACAACCATGAAATGAAAGCTGGGGAGGGATCAGCAGAGCAATGAAGCTTTACAGGCCCACCAGCCTTTTGTATAGTAGAGAGGGGCTCAGAAATGAAATGAGGAATCAAATCTAAAAGGAAAGGGGAAAAAAAGATATTAAATGGCTGAATACTTAGCAATAAGACATTTAAATACTCGCTGAAATCATTCTGCACAGATCAGTTATGCTTTGACTTCTATGAAAGAATGGATTAGATTTATAGGTTACTGTGAAAATATAAAAAGTTGTTCAAAAATAAATGGCCACCCGTAGAATCTCAGGCCACTGTACGTACATATGGCAGAAGGTGGATAGTTTCTTTAACAGCTGGGCTGTGTGTGTCAAGGACTGTCAAAATAATAAAAAGCAGGACAATGCAACACTAAACCATTTACAGAAACTCCAAATCCGTGGTGTTCAACACACTAGCTACATGTGGCCAGTTGAGTGTGGCTAATTGGCTTGAACAAGGTGGCTATTTAGCTCCAAGACTCCAAACTCATTGAGGAGTTGGTATGCTAGTGAATCTGTCACAATGGAACTCTTTGGAGAACAGGGAATTCTTTCTTTTCCAAAAAGAGACAAATTCCCACTACTGGACACTAACATGGCACTGGGAGAGAATGACAAAAGCAGCCTGCCTGCAACAAGAAACACACTAACTGAACCCACCTTAATATACAGGAAGGGATAGGATATATCCAGAATTATACAAATGGGACAAGAGTGGTCCCCAAAATAAGATTAAAAGGAACAAAGGAATTTGCCATTGTAACAAAATCTTCCTGGTTGGACACCCAAACTACATTTAGACTTGGCCTCCTGATAAGACAGTTGCGACCTGACAAGCACATGCACAGAAGACAACATGAAAGCTCCGTAAATCTCCTAACCAGACACAGAACAGTAACTTGAAGACATCGCTAATTAGGCCTGTATAAAATGGATTTTAACATGACTCTCAAAGCTCTAAGCCTACTATTGCTGTCAAACTAGCTTCAAGCACCCTGTTATTTAAGCATGTTCATCTACAGGATAGCAGAACTTACTAAATTAGGATGAAATTAAATGTTAATGTCTACCTAGGTTACATACAGTGTAGCTGTGTTAGCCCCAGGATATTAAAGAGCCAAGGTGGGTGAGGAAACTTTTTTTCATTGGACCCGCTTCCGCTGGTGAAAGAGACAAGCTTTTGAGCCATACACTGTTCTTATTCAGGTCACTTGGTCTTCTTAAAGCAGGAATCTCAAATTCCCAGCCTAGGGGCCATCTACTGCCTGAGCATGTCCCCCATCTGGCCCGGGGAGAGAGGGGGCAGGCGGCATACAGAGACTCACCCAGCACACCCAGGTCTCCAGCACCCACACAGTCCTGGTCGCAGCGGACACCGCTCAGACCAGGAAGCCACGCTGGCTGCTTCTGCTGCAACATGAACCGCGCTGGCCAGGAAGCCACCAGAACCGAAGTGTTTTGTTTTCGGTTACTCTGGGCAGGGGCAGAGGATCCCAGTGTGAGGGTGTGGATGTTAGCTAGTGGGAGGGCAGCTCGGGAGGAGGCCAGGGGGGTGTCAGGACAAGGACTCAGTTTCATGTCTTTTGTAGGATCCTTGTCTCTGGGCTCCTGAGCACAGGGGGAAACACTATCAACTTGCATATACTGTATTGACAACCCAAGAGTTCAAAACTCATGAATCAGCCCCCGCATGCACAAAGAGAAATGGCTTCTTGAAATCACAGAGAAAAATATACTTGGGGATCTTTTTATTTGGCACCTGGTGTTTGAAGTCTTTGGCTGAACTCAAGGCATGTTTTCTAACTTGTCTGTACAAACCATAAGACCTAAAGTCTTCCTTTAAGAAAAAAAAGGGGGGGGGAAAGAAGGCTGAATTCTCTTCTAACACCAGGCACTAACAAGCAAGCATAATTTACTAAGTCGGAGCAATCACAGTTGATAGTGGTGCATGAGGCCTCAGGCAGTGAAGTTCCTAGATCTGGCTTAATTCTAATGTGGCTGGAGATTTCCAGGAAGAAAAAAAAAAATTAGGAGGCTTGTGATGAAATCAGGAGAACTGGCAACACTGATATCTAGTCAGTGTCACAAAATGAGTTGTTAGTTTCATAGCTTACATCTACGGATGGGATGATTCTACAGCCACCTCCCCCAGGCCACAGGCAGCTGGAAGATTAAGAACATAAGAACAGCAATACTGGATCAAAACAAAGGTCCATCTAGCCCAGTACCCTGTCCTCCCACAGTAGCCAATGCCAGGTGCCCCAAATGGAATGAACAGAACAGGTAATCCTCAAGTGATTCCTCCCCTGTTATCCACACCCAGCTTCTGTCAAACTGAGGCTAGGGCCACCATCCCTGCCCATCCTGGCTAATAGATAGCCACTGATGGGACCTATCCTCCATGAACGTATCTAGTTCTTTTTTGAACCTTGTTAAAGTCCTGGTCTTCATAATGTCCTCTGGCAAGGAGTTCCACAGGTTGACTGTGCGTTGCCTGAAGAAACACTTCCTGTTGTTTGTTTTAAACCTGCTACCTATTAATGTCATTTGATGACCCCTAATTCTTATGTTATTGGAACAAGTAAACAACTTGTCCTTATTCACTTTCTCCATCCCAGTCATGATTTTATAGACCTGTATCCTATCCCCCTTTAGTCTCCTTTTCTAAGCTGCAAAGTCCCAGTCTTTTTAATCTTTCCTCATGTAGCAGCCATTCCAAATACCTAATTATTTTTGCTGTCCTTTTCTGAACTTTTCTCAATGCCAAGATACATTTTCAGTATGACAAGACCACACCTGCATGCAGTATTCAAGATGTGGGCATACTATGGATTTATAGAGCGGCAATAAAATATTCTCTGGCCTCCTTTATTTTTTCCTAACATTGTTTGCTTTTTTGACTGCTGTTGCACATTGAGTGGATGTTTTCAGAGAACGATCCACAATGACTCCAAGATCTCTTGGGTTGTAATAGCTGAATTAGTCCCCATCATTTTGTACATATAGTCGGGATTATGTTTTCCATTCTAGCCCTGCTGTGCTGCTGGTAGTAATGGTGGGCGGCCCCAACGGATTTTAAATGACCCAGATGGGGCAAGCAGGGCTGGGATGCTTGGTGGGGGGGATGCAGAAACCCCTGTCCCCACTCAAATCCCCTGCCAGAGGGGTTGGCCACAGACCCACTAGGAGGATTTGATGACTGGCTCTGGTACAAAGGTAAATTGAGTGTGAGACCACTGTTTAAAGTTTACTGATGTTTTTCATATTCTCCAAATAATTAGACTTCACCAGGTAGAGCCTGACATATTTACAACTGACTCTCCACATTTGTAAGGCTGTGAGGAGCCAAAACAGCATTGTGACGCTGTCTGTATCAGTTCACCATTCATATCTAAAATATCAACTTCACAACTGTAGGAGCTAAAAACTTAATTTGGTAAATGAAAACTTGAGCTCTGCACCATTTGGTTATGCAAGTCCTTCACCAGGGCCAATTTTCTAGCCCTATCCATTGAAACAGGAAGGCGGCATTTGGAAACGATTTCCAAAGTTGTGCACAATCCTCCTAACAGAAACTGATGAATAGAGGCAACAAACAAAACATAACCTGGAGACTTCTGTAACACTAGAAACAGAACAGGGGAAAAAGGGGGGGGGGGGGAAAAAAGTGTTTGTCAACCCCCCCCCTTCCCTCCGAAAAAGAAGTTTCTAGTTTGTGAATGCAGTCAACACTGAAATATATATAAAAGACTAGATAAGTGCGCATTTCACAGTACATATAAATTTCCCTATGAATGGTTCTGCTCAAATCGCATTTTCTTCTAAAATCAGTTCACTCTTCCACCACTTACACAGATCGATTTCAGATGAGAGATTGTTTAATGATTTTTAACTGAGCCATGAAAAACATGCACAAACAGAAAAAAACCCTGGAAATGAAAGTGTGGCTCTACTAAGAAAAATCAGTTCCATAAAAATAGAACCCTGGGATTCACAAGGGTGCCAGATCTATTTTTTTCAGCTTTGATTTAGAAATGTTTTCTAGCTGCTGGAATCTCAGAGAAATGCAGTGATATTTCCAGTTTGTCGATCAGCATCAGCATAACTAGTACCGCTAGTTACATCTTTGTCACTCCTCTATCTTCCAATTTTTCCCTCCACTGTAACTGTGAAACCACACAGTTTCCAGTTTGGATGCACAGAATAGACCAGGAGCAGAAAGTGACCGTGCATTTGGAATTTACCTAGCGAGTTTTAAGATGACTGAAAAACAAGATTCACCTCTCTCTTGAGCTGGCTGTGGAGAACTAACACTAGCAATAATTTTTAGCTACATTAAGTAAGATAAGCTGACAGCATCTGTTACTAAAACCATGAAATGTTTACATAAGAGCTTTTTCAGACTAGAGTCAGGCTTTAATTTGTTAGAGATTCAACTTCTATCTATGTCTTCTTGCCTACTTTAAAACATCCCTAAAACAGTACTTTCCAGGAACAGGAGGTAAGACCTGAACTGTACATACAGTGCCATGACAGTTTAGTTAGAATTCTTTACACTTCCAAAGAAAATCGGTAAACATGATACTTATTAATGTGAAATATGCAGTCCTACATTTTTATAACTAGTCATTTGGGTGCTCAACCTAAATTCTACAAACACTTGATTTTCAACGAGCACTCAGTATTTTCTGAAACATAGGCATCCTTAAGGTATGCCAAATTGGGTGCCCCAAAACTGAAGCACCTGTAATCCTCAGTCAATTTGGAAAAACATGCAAGTTACATAGGTCAAGATGGGGTCTTACCTGAACTTATAGTGGAGAAAAGAACTGTAGCAGTGACAAAGAGCAGTGCCTGTAATGGTCCAGGATTTGGATGCATAGTGCCAGATTCCAGAAGGTGAAAGCAGAGTTCCAGACCAAGACAAGTCTCTGAAAAAACTATAAACAGGAAAAAAAAGTCTACAGTAAATTTTAGATGCTCATTCCTTCTTTGCATAGTACTGACAGAAATGCAATCTGACACTTGATTCAAGGGTAACTAAAGCTTTAAAAATTGGAGACTTACCATATCTAAAAAGGTGACACTGACCTCTTATCCAACACACCAGAGACAGAACCATAGGTCAGGATTGGCAATAATTTTTGCTGAGGTGCAGCGCCAATATTTTGTTAAGTGGTGCAGGGCTGCACTTTTCTATGGAGGGAGTGTAGGGTCTGGGACAGAGTTTGGGTGCAGAAGAGAGATCAGGGTAGGGGACTGGGGTGCAGGAGAGGCTGTGGGATCTGAGAGAAGTTTGGGTAAAGAAGGGGATTGTGTATGGAGCAGGGAATTGGGATGCATGCAAGGATTCTGGCCTGGGGCAGGGTGTGAAAGCGAATGCAGGGTCTCTGGGAATGCAACTTAATTCCACAGAATGACTTTAAATACTGTCAGTAATATCGAAAACCGGAATGGAACCATAACCAGAAAAGTTGTACAGAAACTCAAATGAAAATAGTCCACCCCAGACTTCAATTCTGCATTTCATAGTATCAACCACACCATGAAACAATCAATATTCTGCTGTCAGATGGTACATAAACTGAAATGTCAGATTATAAATTTCTGACACTTGTATCCAAAAAAATTAGTATAGACAAGATCATGTTCCCCTCCAAAGTCCTTAATATCTTTACATGGTATCCACACAAATTAAAAAAAAGTAGAAAACAAATGTGTAGACTAGGGATGTTAGCTATTGGGTAACTGAATAGTTGAGTAACCACATGAATTCTTATTGGTTACTATACTACTCTGTAGTCCCCGGGGACGGGGCCAGCAGCAATACATACCAGTCCCTCTCCTGGGGAGCCCCCCTGCTATCCTATGCTGCTGCCTCTGTATCAGAGGCAGCAGCACGGGGGGCTGGGCGTGAGCCAGTCTGTGAGGAGAGCCAGGTTAAAAAATA